AGAGCTAGGTTATTTTTCTTTTAAATAAATATTAATGTAATTTTATTGGTATCTATCTACCAGTAGCTGCCTCATTTCCCACCCTCGGCTTATATTCGGGTCAATACTTTTTCCCAGGTTTTTTTTGTAAAATTAGGTACCTCGGCTTATATTCGGGACGGCTTATACTCGAGTATATACGGTACAATTTGTAGGCCGAAATTGCAGTACATCCATAGCTTCTGTCCTCCCCACTGGGAGCTGCTCTGTGTCCCCTCTGACGCAAAGCAGCGTCCAGCGGGGAGGGAGAGAAACTGTTAGGAGGGTGGGGGGGAGGAGAGCGCTTTTGAGCTGCAGTGTCACAGGAGGCTGAGCTCTCCTCCGGCCACGCTTGGCCTCCTGTGACAACAAATCGGGATGGAAAGTGGTTTAGCGAAGGAGACAGCTGTCAGCCGTGTCACAGGAGGCTGAGCTCTCCTCCCCGCATTGCCAGCTCAGCCTTCTGTGAGAGCTGAAGGAGTCGGGATGAAGAGCGGCTAACAAGCGCTCGATCAGCTGATCACGGAGTGCTTGTAAATAATTAAGGAAATAGTATGTTTACTGTGTCCCCAATTATGAATGAACAGGAAGGTGCTCTACATCGCTTCCTGTTCATTCATAACAGGGGCTGCAATTTTTTTCTTTTCGAGTTTCGGTCTAAAAATTCCATTTAGGCGCATCTCTAATTGTAAGTAAAATAAAAATATGTTTAATAATTGCAAGATGGTTTAATATCAGCATGCAGGGGTGATTTTTAGTGAAAGGGGGTAAAGGCCCACTTTAAGGAATCTTTTTATCACAGTAAATATAAAGGCTGATCTTCTGAAAATGGTAGTTGTCTGGCTGCAATTCTTCTACTTTAGTACTTTGGGTCTCTGACCTGAAACAAACATGCAGATAAAGACATCTGACTTCTAAAGTAATGGTACTTTGTGTAATGTCTTTAGTCATATCACTAATATAATTGATATTATTTTTGCCCCGTTTTGTCTGTGCCTAATGATTTTCACTCATTGCTCTTTTCTACTATAAGTTAAAAGGATA